CACACACACACACACACACACACACACACACACACACACACACACACACACGCGCGCGCGCGCACGCGCGCACACACACACACACACACACACACACACTCACCGTCCGGTGTCTTCGACAGCTCATCCTCATCACTGTGAGTGTCCGCGTGCTGTTGCTCTATGGTGTGGAACTCGTTCCAGTACTCCTCCAGCTCTCGACTCGGGGAGGCCGCCATGGCCACGGGACACCCTCCAACCGCTCACGGGGACGGGACACCCTCCAACCGCTCACGGGGACGGGACACCCTCCAACCGCTCACGGGGACGGGACACCCTCCAACCGCTCACGGAGGGCGGGATGTTCGATATGGACGGGACACCCTCCAACCGCTCACGGTTCAGTGGAGTCTCTCAAATCCGTGAGGGGGAGTGTTAGCTCCCTCACAGCAGGAATATTTCAGCTCGCATTTGGATTTTTGGTTTTGTTTCACATCAAAAACTAGCGTGTCCAATATTAATAAAGATTTGTAGGTTTATTTGTTGTTGTTTTGTTTTTTCCTTCTGTCGGATATATTACTATAGAAATATACAGTCAAGCCCTGCTCCACCAACACCCACCTGTCCAAGAAGACAATCACTTGTACAAACGATCACTTCCCACTTCCTGAGAGAGGGACGGACACCCTCCAACCGCTCACCAGGTGGGGTGGGGGGAGGGGGGGGGGTGTCACAGCAGTCAAACCTTGCTCCACCAACAATTACTTGTACAAACAATCACTTCTTCCCTCTTCTGGAGAGAGAGGGAGAGAGAGAGAGAGAGAGAGAGAGAGAGAGAGAGAGAGAGAGAGAGAGAGAGAGAGAGAGAGACAAGGGGGGGGGGAGGAAGTAGAGCGCAGGTCGCGGCAAAATGCCGCCTTCAGGGGTGTTAGGACGACACACCAGAAGATTGTGTTGTGTACCCGGGTGCCAGTCCTCACAGAATACGTTCTTGTCGGTGGTGGACGTGGTGGTGGAGGTGGTGGTGATGGTGATGGTGATGGTGGTGCTGATGGTGGTGGTGAAGTATCCACCTGGTCAACTATTATAACGGCAGCTTTCGTCAGGAATTCCTTTCAGCGATCAAAATAGTGAAAAAGAAAGCAGGAGTAGACGACACCAGAATACCCGCTAACCGCCCACTCCTTTCTTGTTCGTGTCGAGTAGGTAGGAAAAAGTACAACTTGTTCGTCGTCAGTTCATCCGTCCGTCAATCCGGCAGGTGACCCAGAAAGGTCAAAGGTCAGAGGTCACGCAGCTAGACGGGGGTCAGGGCATAGAGTGACGTCATCCTTGGGTCTCTGCTGCTGCTGCTGTCTTCGCGCGGGTCAATCGCCTGGAGAGAGAGAATACATGTATCAACGAACAACTCAGATAAGAGTTTTGTTTACGTGAAGTGAGGTGTTGCAACACTATATTCAAAATGG